GTTGTTGTAGTAGTAGTAGTTGAAGTGGTGGAAGTCGTTGTTGTTGTTGTGGTGGTAGTGGTAGTTGTTGTTGTGGTGGTAGTGGTAGTTGTTGTTGTGGTGGTAGTGGTAGTTGTTGTTGTGGTCGAAGTGGTAGTTGTTGTTGTGGTCGAAGTCGTTGTTGTAGTTGTAGTTGTTGTGGTGGTAGTCGTTGAAGTAGTTGAAGTTGTTGTGGTAGAAGTCGTTGTGGTGGAAGTCGTTGAGGTAGAAGTCGTTGCAGTAGTTGAAGTTGTTGTGGTAGTTGATTCTGATATGAACCAAGATAGAAAGTTCGCATTAGCAAAAATTAGTTTTTAATATAAGTGTAAACCAATCGACTGCGTAACTCCGTATAACCGAACGACTGTTAAGATATCTTATTCATTGTTGCCAGCAGCCTAGATGGCTAGCAAGGTACCATCCTTGATCAATACATAATCTTACATATGTAGCTTTCATTGTATGCATATTTTTCTTCGATAATACAGGGGTGTACAGCTGACACACATGAACATGGGTGATTATGATGGTGAGCTGTACAGTCCTACTCAGCACTACTAACGATCCAGAAATTGAAAATTCAACAGCAGTTGAAGAGGAATTCAATGAATTCAAAAACATCATGAAAAATCAACGCATTCTATTAAGAGAGAGAGAGCTATTAACACTGTCAAATGCAGCTTCATTGATGAGGTTACAATAACTGGCAAGCAAGATTCCAATATGGGTACTCTGAATGCTAGCTGAATTTCACTTGAATTCCTTAAATTTCCAATTTATGAATGGTGGGTATATCAGAATGACATCCAAGAAAAAATTACTGATCAATCTCACCTGTTGATCCCAGCCACAATGCAATAATCGTACCCAAAACAATACCAGCTGTTAATATTCCAATTATTAATCCAACTAATAAAATTTTATAATTATCACAACAAAAAGCATAAACTCCTGCACGTCTAAAAGTATAGATAAAGTGTAACACTGATAGAAATAGAAAATGGTTTCATATTCTATTTTTTTTATACCTATTAACTTCTGTTTTTCTCTCTTGTTTTTGCGAACTATTGGAATCATATATTGTCCTGCGTAATTGAACTTCACTTATTGGAACTATTTTCGTAGACTGCCATACACTTCCATTATAAGCACTACCCGACAAGTATGAATTCTTATCATATTGTTGAACTTTGATGCGCTGTTCTTTGTCATATTTGTTTCTCAAAATACTTGTGCCAGCTTCAAAGCTCTAAATTAAGTATAACATTCTTACTACTAATAACCATTGAAAACTTTTCTATTTTTTAAGTATAGCTTACTGCTGCATGCATCGTCTCGTGAGACTTCTCCTTTATTAGTATGGGCGCAAAAGTATTTTGTTTTTGCAAAGAATCCGCTGTTAATAAGGTGTATATTATAAAAGAATGGTTTTGATTAGAATAATGCAAAAATATATGTAATCAAAATTGTTTGTTCCTTCTATTTTCATTCAACCGTTATTTCGTTTCATTATTAACAAATTTATTTTTTCTTCTCAGAGATTTCTTAAAGGATTCCTGCCTCATTAAAATAATGGTAACCATGTACTTTTTTTTATGGAACTTCTACGTCATGATGCAACATTACTATACTGTTGATCACTACAGGAGTGTGAATGTGAGGGTATGGGTGTGGGTGTCGGTGTGGGTGTGGGTGAGGGTGTATGGTGTAGGGCGTGATTTCAGAGAAGAAGTGCACCTACACCCCAAATTGCAGTATGTTGAGGATCGAACTCCATCTTTGACCTTTTTCATTTTTGTTTCTATCAAAACGATTTATTTGATTTTATTGAATTTAATTTTTACACTTTTGAAAACTTAAGCAGGTCAAGTTTTGAGATGTGACAGAACTTGAGTTGGTCGCATCTGAATCTGCCTACTTCGCAATAGTTTGCTCTTAACCTACAGTCAAGATAGGCATGTTCTCGGCGGGAGTCGCTTACTTGCTCGCAAGACAGTTGCTCGTCTAAAACTTTGCTCGCGAATGGGACGATCATTTATTTGTCAGTGATAGAATTGAGAACTACATTGATAGAACTAGTTAATTCACATAAATGCACAATTAATGATCATGATCGTTTTAATGATTAGTGATGTTCAGAGATTATTGTATAAGAGTAGTCACAATCACGGTACAGTATATTACAAAAAAAACTCATATCAGTTGATGTCTTCACCCCACATGCCCAAGAAAATGGTGCGTTAATGGTCATAAACGGCGTAAAAACGGTGTAAAACGCTGAAACACGGCGCCATTTTACATCAGCTCGGAAAACGACGAATATATTGTTAAAAACGATGGCGGTTTTCTAGCGATAAAAACAGTCCGTAAAACGAGCTGGCTGATTACAGCGAAATAAGGTGAAAATGAATGCCTCATTATGCCGTTTTATAGCCGGTTCAGGTCTGATAAGGTGTCCGTTCCGACGATCTGAATGATTGCCCTGGGACATCTGAATATCAAAGGTCGATTGAAGTATATCGAATGTTTGCATGCTTGCCGATTAGGGAGGGGATGGTAGGGGCTATCCTCTTCCCAAATTGAAATGTTATCCGGTTTTCTGCGAAATTTCCTAATACTTTCAGCCAGAGTATTGCAAGCCTTCCAGTAATTGCTGGTGGAGACGCAGTTTTCGCGTGCTAATTACAATTTTTCTGGCAGAAAATCAAATAAGAACATATCCTGTTAACAAATTCTTTCAGATAATCCCTGAATATAACGTTGGTCGTTCAGCTTCTGCCAAGCAATAAGAAAAGGCACTTTCTGCCAAATTTTAAGCCTCTCCCACCAGGGCTGTCAGCTGTACCCCATTTCACCATTTTGTACCCCATTTAGACTTTTAAGTCTACGGTACGGCTACATAATCTTCTAATGAAAACAACCTGCCTTTCTCTAGATTTTTCTCATTTTCATAAAGAAATGTATAATAAAATGTGTTGGTAAATAACTGACCAATAGATTTTAGCACCAATTTCGTTTAATTGCGTCTTTAATTATTCAGTTTTACATACTATTTTCACTATGAATAATGAAATAAATTTTATGGAAGTTTTTCCTTTCTCCTTTCTCATCGTTTCATTACTTTTTTCAATTAAGTTTGATCAATACATATTATCTCAGAAATGAATCGAGTTTTAGACTTTCGCTTCAATGTATTTGGTTTTTGTGATAATTTCCGCATGGCATTGAACAAAGATTATGAAGTTGAAATTTCTCATGATTCAGAAGCAACAGCAAGTGAAGAATTTTCCAGTTTCCGAGAGAAACCAGCTACTAATATCAAAGATAAAAATGTTCTTAAAGTCAAAAGGACGTTGTATGTGCAACCAAAAATGGTTGAAAGATCCTAAATATATAGCATTTCTCAGAGAATGTCGAATCAATGAATATTTTGCTCATTGTTCTATATGTCAATCAGACTTTTGTGAAACACGACCTAAAAGGAGTGTTGGTGTTTAGGGTAGAAATTTTGCACCCCCACCCCACAGATCGTTGCCGACAGGTAATTTTTCCAGCACAGAGCGTGACAGGCAGCTTAAGAGACCATTGAAAATCGTGACATACGTTTTAATTAATTGACTAATTAGTACCATATGAATTGAGTGCCCATCACAGACTGTTACACAAGATGTTCAGAGACCTAGCACAGCCCATCAGAGAAGCTGTTCCAGCCTAGCGCAGATCATCACTGATAGAGGCAAACGAGCTGTCTCACCAAATCTACAAAGAACTCCCTTGAATACTCCATCTCCACGTGATTTCCTGCAGTGATTATGTCGTGTTTCACATTTTTAATTCCAGAGGGATTGCGCTAACAGCTTTTCTATTTCTAATGGTGGTGTTTATTTGGTCGGTTTTCTCAATTAAATCCTCTATTTTAGGAGGCAGACAGTGTACTCCCACTTATGTACCCCATTTGGACTTTCAAAAGCCCCATTTGGAAAATGAGAAATGGCAGCCCTGTCTCCCACTCTTCAAGACAATCGACAATGCTGAACGTTTGTTATCAATGTGGAGTCTCTTTTCTTTTGTACATCGCTAATGATTACTGATATTATTATTAATATATAGTTTTATGTCTTATTTACACATTTCCTCTAAAATATTTTGTAAACAAGCATTTTAACGGGCAACTCTCCTACGAGCAACTAATCTAGGCCCATTGACAAGGCTTCACGTTTCGAAGTTAGATACGATGATGAGAAAATAAAAGTGATAACGAATCTAGTTTATTCGAAACGATGCCGTAACTGTTTTACATGAATGAATCTGTGTATTTATATATATATAATTATATGCATACAATATCAGATTGGGAATTTTTCCATGTGAATTGGAAACAGAGACCGTCACAGGGCAGTCCTGCCCTGCGCCCTGATAATTTTCCCTATAAACTGATATACAGCAGATTTTTCAGTCGATTATGCTGACATGGTGATGGATTATAATGTATGTCATTATGCGCCAGTCACTGTGAAATTTGTTACTATGCCTAGTTCGGACAATACCAGTTTACTCATTTATTATCATATAATTCAATTATAAAAATAAAATATTGCTTCAAAGAGAAATGCAAAACAGGGTGTGGGTGTGGGTGTGGGGTGTGAGTATATTCTTCAGAAATATACACACCGACACCCACACCCACACCCAGGTTTTGTCGTCTTGCCAAAATCTCCCGATTGGAATTATGAATTATTTGAATATGTTGGCACAAGTGATAAATCTATTTTTTCAACCAATGAATCCGCTTGTATTAAGGAAAATTGGAGCACATGCCGTACAAATTTGTCTCATGTTAAGCAAAAATTATTTAACTAATATAAAATTGCGATTTTCTGCTTCAAATTATTTATTATTGACATGTCCCTATGTTGTTGTATTGTAGTTGACCTCAGACAAGTTCGCCAACGCTTAAATAAACCGCACATTTGAACTAGTTCATGTTAAAAAATTTCTTTGAATGGAATATTTCTATATATATTATGTAGGAATGACAACCATGAAAAAATCTTAAAACATCAATGACACTTCCAAATGAAATTTTAGTAGTGTTTTTTCAATAGTTCAGAAAGTCCGATAATTGTGAAAGTATAGTAGACTTTTGCTACCAGTCATGAGAGTGTATTAAGATAGAATAGATGTGAGAACTGAAGTTACAGCTACCGTACTCTGATGTACTGTAGATGTTCGGGAACCTACCCACAATCTTACATACTTTTTTGTGTACGAAACTATTCGATATGTAACTTGTAAGTGATAGCTCCAAGGCGTAAAAGAGAATCCTACGATCCATAAGAATCTACTAGGATCTTGAAGTTGTTGGTGTAGGTAATTTCAATGGTGATATTCACACCCTCATACTCTTTGCCTGTACTTATTGCCTAAATTTTCCCAACACTATTGGGCATCTTGGGAATTTCGGGTTGTCAAGTTGAATTCTTGTATAATGCCATGATAAAATTTCCTTTAATAGTTAAAACGCATAAGTCATTTTCCAGGTTTGCACATAATAATAAGTGAAAGGAATAGGTTTGAATGCGTTCAACCTGTGATATTTTCGGAAAATTGTCACTCTACATTTTTCAGTATTATGTAAATGTCCCCTGAGTGGAAAGAGATTAAACACTGAAATTTTTACTACTTAATAAACTTTTTGTTTCACATCTACTGTACAAAATTTGAGTCAAATCAAACAACCCATGAAAGAGTATAGAAGCATGCCGTTTTCCAATCATCACTCTACAAATTCAGTATAGTGACCTTGTTTTTAAAAATTGTTGTTATTTTTATCTATAAGCGAAGTTGATAAATAGCTTTTTTCTGATCAGTTTTTGTCGTAAAGAGTAGTCTTTCTTTCTCTATGGTTGCATATGTTACCAGTTTTTCACTGGTAGAGCTGCAACCATGTTTTCGTCACTACACAAAAATATTAAGTGTCCCTCAAATAAATAATATCAACGTGAGGTGAAGGAGAGAAAAAAAATTTAAAACTAATATCAATGATAAATTTAGATAGAGCATCAAACGTTGTACAAAACTGCCTAATTACATACTTTTCCTCTTGCTTTTCTATAGCAGAAAAATTTCTTTTTCTTCTCACACATCAGTCAAAACAAATGTATTTTTTGTAATATATCTCTGATATTTCAGCGACAGTATGAATGGCACAGTTGAAATTTAGTGTGACAGTGGAGCAGGCCAGAAGCAAAAACCTCTAAAAAATTCTTCGAATCGGTTAAAAAAACTGCAACTTATCAAACAAATAAACCTTAAATATCAATGGTTCAAAAAAATTGTAATTCACTCGTATAAATAATCATTATTTTTATTTTGATCAAAATACCACTAACAATAATTTACATTTATTGTAGAATATAAATTACCGACACTTTATATTTTTTTTAATCAACAGAAAAATGACGCCCCTATAACCGGTATAAACCGGTAAAAGAGTCACCTTTACAACTGTGACGGTGAAGCGCGGATTCATCATCACTGCTGCATCCCTAGATGAAAGCAAACGCATGTGCATTGAAAAAATGCAGATAGAGAGCAAAAAGATATTGACGCGACTTCTTCTTGAGGAATCTTTTTCAAAAAAAAACGTTTTATGAGGACTTGAATATACAACTGTATGATAATTTTGTCATAGAATACGTTTTTAATGCTTTTTTGAATGATGTGATTTTCATCAACTTTGAATGAGATCAAAAATACACAATTTGGTGCATCTTGTCTATAGCTTTTCGTCACCGTTCTTCACTCATTTCTTTCGTTCTCGTCCACTATCACTACCTGACTGAAGTTATTTCTACATGAAAAAAAATATCCTTGCTTACATATTCAACGATTCATGTCATTGTATTACGCATGTGTGAGAAAAGAGATAGATATATCGCTAAGAAACACTAAGATTAATAATGATGCTCACTGCGACTTTCGGAGAAAACTCAACATCAATGGATACCACCATACTAGAAAAACCAGCAATCTGGTCAATGATTTTCTTTGTTATACTTCTAATTGCGATCATTCTCTTGCCCTTCTTACATCCGAGTGAGTACTGTTTTGTAATTTATTACAGCGATCAAATTTTCTTCTACATATTCAGTTTACCTTCGACATGTGCCTGTCAAATGGCATCACTATTACATTTGGGATAGTAATTGGAAGAAACTTATAATCGGTATCAGTCTTTCCGTCGGTTATTTCGCCTATTTGATTTGTCTCTCTCGTTCGACTGCTTTCGCTATGTTTCTCTTTAGTCTAAACAGTTTTATTTCTTTATTCGCTCTGCTCTTTGCTCTTTTTGTTACATGTACTGGTTTGCCCGTTATTAAATTGAAGTCAACTGAAATATTGGTTTCAACAACGTTCAAAACACTTGTTTGGCTCGTCACTAAAAATGTATTGTTTCTCGTTGGTGGAATTCTTCTATGCAATTTGATTGGAACACTCGCTGCCAGTGTTCTACTTTTTCCTTCCTTCCTTCATTTCCCAAAACGCATCGAGACTCGATCATTTGAATACTCAACGATGTTTGATAATTTTCTTTATTATGCTAGTAGGCAATTGTGGTGGAGTATTGAGTCCACTAGGTGACCCACCTTTGTACATGGGCTACACCTATGGCGTTCGATTTCTGTTCACATTCCAGTATCTCTATAAAATCTTTTTTGTTGTCAATGGTTATGTACTTCTCGTATTTACAGTTATTGATCTGGCCAATGCATGGGTATATCGGCGGGAAAAACAACGGGATCTGTACCCAATGCCTGCAACTGAATTGCGAGGTCAAACTTATACAGTGACTCCACTTGATGATACACAAACGGTGAGACGGCGTCAAAGTGTTGATCCTCGCTATGATCTCTCTTCTGCGACTACTGTGCGTCTTTCATGGCGTGGTATTCACAACAGTTTGTTTCTCATGCTCACCATTGTTGCTATCCTGCTTAAAGGGCTCAACATTCCTCGACCATGGCCTCAATACGTTCAAGAAGGCATTCTTTTCGGGATAGCCTTGGCGTGTCTCGTTATTGATATAATATGCAATGGTCTAACACCAACACAATGCGACAAAAAACATTATTCAACACGTATTGAACCTGTGGCAGAAGTAATTGTCATCTTTGTCGGCTTATTCTTTACCATGTCAGCACCTATTGCACTCTTATCCAATCTGAATGTTGTTCTCGGACCAAAAGTAAGCACAATACTTTGCCGATGTTAAATATTTTCGTATTCTCTAGCGTCTCTTTTTACTTTCGGGTGTCTTCGCTGCTATTCTCGACAATGCTCCAGTATATATTAGCTTTGCGGCAAGTGCAGCGGGTCGATTCAATATCACTATCGATGAATCGGTAAGCAGTGTTGATGGCTCCACCAGTGGTTTTCTGTCGACGTTCTTTATTACATACCAAACGGATGCTGTAGCAACAATGCGTGCCATATCAGCTGGATCGGTCTTGATGGGTGCATGTACTCTGCTTGGTAATGCGCCCAATATGATTGTAGCATTGATGGCTACACGATACACCTATCGCGTACGGACAAGACAAGTAACACGAGTGCATAGCGATGGTCAAGAAGAATATGTTGTGCATCATATCCAGAAAGTTGGTTTCGTTCGAATGCTATTGATAGCTTGCGCAACGCTTACTCCTATCTTTATTGTCGTAGCTATGCTCATGATCTGAGCTAAGCCAAACTAACATGATAAACAGTGTCTTCTTTGTGCGGACTTTTTCGTTGCAGTTGAAAGCACAACTGTGCTAAAGTCTAGGACTCGACCGTAAATAAGCTGACTGGCAATGTTAACCATTAAATACATCAGAATACAAGGATTGTTTTTCACTATGACAGTTTGTTAAGGGTTCAAACGTGACCAATCATATGATAATCTAGTATTATGCTAGTGGTATTGTTTTTGTTGTTGTAATTCAGTTGGATGTTGTTTATCTACATTGATTAAGACATAATTGATTGTTGTTTCTTTTACCTGCTTCGTTTTGCTGACGTCTTACTTTTATAATTATACGTAACTATTCGCACGACGATTCAGATACTTTGACAATAACAGACGAGCCACAAACGGATCCCAATCAATCGAAGTAGCACGTGGCATGCCACAACAATTAATAGATGAACTTTTACTCCAGACTACTAGCTTACAAAATTTATCTCTACTTGATATCTAGAGGGTCTATTTTATAATATAATTTTTTGTGAATACTGTATTTATATTTCGTTGGATACAGAAATCAACACGAACCAGCATTATCTTCTCATCTTAAACCTAGACAGAAAGAAAAACAACTCATTGGTTCAACATTGCTAATTCATCCGTTCAGTTACCCTCTCCATCCTCCTCCACACAAATGTATTAATAAATAGACTTTAAACTGCAGGAAAATCGGTCTAGATCTTCAAATCCTCGTTCTCTATAACTTATCTCGAAACGTAGTAGTTTGTACCACTATGTTTGAAATTGTGATATTTTGTATCATATTGATCACATGATATGGGTGTGGGTGTTGACCTGATGAACTGATCTACACCCACACCCCACACCCTATACTAGACTTGATATTCACAAGAATTCGCTATGATTATTCTTTTGTCATTCGAAACACGAGCAAGGTACATTAATAATTTTTTAGTCAAAATCGATGAAAATTGGTTTCTTCTTCAACATGCAGAGACTGATAAAAAAAAATCGATAGATACAGGGAAAAATGGAAGGAAATATATTTAAAAAACATGTATGGTTTAATTTTGCCTGTTCAACCGTTGTTACCATTGATAGAATCTTCTTGAACCAGTTAGTCCATGTAAGATTTGTTAAAGTAAAAAGTTAGTTTTTGACACGATCATTACACCATTGGATTAAGTGAACATCGACGTCGAAATTCTTGGCCATATTCACCAATCCACTTATTCGCTACCCATTTATTACCGATTAGGACTGGACAACCTGGGAGGATAGAAGAAAAACTGACTTATTTGGAAAGTCATACACTAAACAATACTGACCTGCATGTAATGTTCTATAGTCTTGAGGGTGTGGGTGTGGGTGTGGCTGAGAGTGATTAGAATGCCAACAACACCCACACCCACACCCTTGTTGTAGAATCCATTTTTGTTGAACGAAGCCTTACTAGATACGTAGTCGATGTTTATCATGCAGAACACTTTTCAAGTCGTCGCTATGCAAATCTTTCAAGATTGCTTGATACGCATCAAAATTTGCACTGCGAAGGGCTAACAAAAATTTCATCGCGTTATATCGCCAAGATAACCTTTTAATAATATTTTTATTTTTATGATATTTGAATAAGTTTGACGTCTAGATGTCTCAAGTATATCATAAGTGTAGAGACCATGTGCCTAAAGAGAACGCATGCTGGACGTGTCTGTATTTTGTTGCTTATTTCCTCATGATTATAGGCTATAATAATTTGGGTGTGAGTGTGGATGTGGATGTGGGTGTTGCCCTGATGAACTGATCTACACCCACGCCCACGCCCTCACACCGATGCCACTGAACTCACTGTAAATGTAAGAAAATAATAAAAATTCTCTTAATTATGAGAAACGAAAAATTGATTTGCTTGTTTTACAGATGGTGCTTTTCATTTTTCGGATTTCATTTGCATGAAAGTTCAATTCAGACAGCTCAGAGTTGCAACCGGTAACGGTAAACGGCCGATCCGTTCCGATCTAGGATTCCTTACCGGCAGGTATACCGGCCGGTACAAGCGACTTCTTCAGGCTGGCCCGGTCTAGATTTTTTAAAATTATTTTCGCTTTTTTCCTTTATTTTTTGCAAAAATAGATGATGAAAGTGTTTATTTTTGCATATCAAGCTAGTTTTTATGACATTAATGACGATTTATAAGAAAAATTATGAGATAGATTGTTTATATTAAATCAATATTTATCAAAAATGTATTTCTTAGCGATGAAGGAGAAGTCTTAAATAATTGGTATAGTGATTCAGAGTAAGATATGACTGATATTCAATGAAAAAAATCAATGGTGACTAATATACGATCAAAAATAAAACTATGACTCATGCCGGTCTACCGGCCGGTCCGGTCTGACCGGTTTAGACCGGTACCGGTACCGGTCTAGAAAAAACCCTACCGGTTGCAACTCTGAGACAGCTCGTCGAACAAACCATATTTTTTAATAGTAAACGTGAAAAACAATGAATGCTTTGCTATTGTACGTTCGATATTCGGTGAAAATAACTCGACTATTCTAAAATATACTAAAACAAATTAGTTAGCGCTAAAATCCAGTATCCTCATCAGTTTTCATGTAAATGTTTGCTTATATTTTTAATCATTCGTTTTAGTTATTCGTTCCTATTTTCATAACTTCCACTGAAGATCTTGCTTTCGTTCTCTTGTTCCATTTACTTTGTCTTTTTGCTTTCTATAACATTCAATCAATGTCGTTGTTTAGGAAGTGTTTGTTTTTATCAGATGTATAGCACTTATGAACGTCCTAATATGTTACGAAAATAAAGACAAAAAACATCAGTGAAATTCAAGTATGCATTTAATGAATTGACTCTAAACGTAAGGACAAATTGTTTTTACTTTTTTGTGTCATGATTGACTCTTTATCGATTGCTAAAAAACAAGGACTGAGATCAGCAGATTGATTTTTGTTTCTGTTCAAACGTAGATCGATCTATTTTTAAATTAATTTACGTACACTCTCACTCTCACTGTGAAATCTAAAAACGTGAGAGATAGTCGTTTATGCTGATACTATCAATAGAAAAAAAGGATTCTTTTTCTTTTATCTCCGTTAGACATGCTGATAAGTGTTCCGACAATAACGATAGGTATCTACTTTTTTACATACACAGATTTCATCGGCATCATGTCAGCAAGTAAGGGTTCATTTGCACTGATGATTCTCTCTATATGTTCGTTCTTAATATTGTGCATTTCTGCACAACCCATGAACGATGATATTTCACTTATTCGACAGCGTGTATTGCAGCAAATGATTTGGCCACCACCCAGCTCTTTACCATCAATAGTAACAAGTGCACTTCGATATGCAAGAAGACTAAATAGCTCATGCTTTTGGCCAGATATCAATTATACAGATCAGGGTCGTGCTATGTGGTTGACTGAACAACATCTAGCACGATTAACTCTGATGATTCAAGCCTTGACCGTAAATGGTTCAACTGTTCAAAATGATACAAAATTATTGCAGGCTGCTCATTGTGCTCTCAACATTTGGCTTATCAGAGATTGGCAAAATCCTAACTGGTGGTTTAATCGAATCGGAGTTCCCATTATACTTACGAGCTACTTGTTGATGTTAGGTGATAACATCACGAGTTTTGAACTAGAGAAAATCAAAGAAATCTCTTATCGAGCGAATTGGTGGAATGGTGATCGTTGGACAACGGGTGCTAATTTAGTTTGGATGATTCAAGCTCAGCTATACCGATCGCTAGCCACTCGAAACGTGACAGGGATTGAGCAAGGATTCAGTCGAATGTGGCAAGATATTACTATTCAACCACTAGATAAAGAGGGTGTACAAAATGACTATGCCTATCATTTTCATGGAACACAGTTACTCTCAGCTGCTTATGGGCAAACTTGGGCAATTAATATACTGTCATTCTTTAGTTGCACTGTTCAAACTCAATATGCACCGGATGCAGAAAAATTAATAATTTTTGCTCAATTCTTGACGAAAGGTGATGCATGGATGATAATTAGTAATGAATGGGATTGGCATACTATAGGGAGGGCTGTTGCTCGACCAGACCAAGGTTATATTGTAAGCTACAGTACTGACTTCATAAGAATTCTGGCACAATCAATTGAATCACACGATTTGAAAAAAGATTTGAATAATTTTGCCGACCGTTTAGATAAACTACCAAATGCTACTCTACTACTTGGGAATAAACACTTTTATACATCCGACTACCATGTTCATCGTCGCACAAACTGGACGAGTGCAATTAAAATGCAATCGATTCGAACGGAACCTGATGAATGTGGAAATGGAGAAAATTTAAAAGGCGAACATACAGGTCAAGGAGTACTAAATCTGTTCACAACTAATGTTGATGACTATGTTTTTCTCTTTCCGTTACTTGATTGGCAAGCAATCAATGGTATCACAGTTGAACATGATATTCCACTTGAACCTTGTGCGAATGGACCATTTGTTTTGAAGCGATTACCCTTTGTCGGTGGTGTTAGTGATGGCCTATATGGACTTGCGATGATGAATAGTGCCACCCATAATTTAACAGCTCAAAGATCATGGCATTTCCATGAAGACGCTATCGTTGCACTCGCTACAAATGTCACACTGACCTCACCTAATATAGCATGGACAACACTTGCCAGTCGTCGATTGACAACAGGTCAAATTGCAGTAGGCTTTTTCAACTCGACTGTTGCTATTCTATCCGATGGAAATCAATCTTTTCCGTGTTTTACGAACACAAGCTCGAATGTGCAATGGATTCACATTGGCGAAACGGATTTCGGTTACATTTTACCAGAAGAATTATGTTCAACTGTAGGCATCGATGTAGGAATAAAAACCGGTAACTATATCACTATTGGTGCTTTTAATTCCACTGTAACAGCTCGTACTCTAACAATCTGGTTAGACCATGGAAAAGGACCCTTCAAGCTAGATTATAGTTACATGATATTACCCAATATTTCACTTGAATCAATGCCACAAATTATCAAACAGTACACGGAAGAGCAAGTATTTTCATGCATTTCAACAAACAATTATTTTCATGGAACTGTTTGGCCTTCATTAAAACGTGCATCGTTTGTTCTATGGGATAACATTACGACGACATTTTCATGTAAAAGTTCACTTTTCACAATTAATATACAACTGAATGATGCAGGTGCTTATTTGTTCAGTGAGACTGACGTGGACTTCACTATCACTGCTTCTCATCCAATTCGAGTGAATGCTTCTGTTAAAGTGACAATAGATCGTGTTGGTTATGGCGAGGGGTGCGCAGCCGCGTTCGATACGAATCCACCGGCTACAAACGTAACATTGGTGTTACCGACATCGTCTCAGCTATTGGGTGCCTCAGTGACGACGAAGTGCAATAAATCAGGTGTTAAAATCCCACAATGAATGTAGAAAGAAGTTTTCTATTCATCATCTGATCAGTGAATAATTTCTAGATTGTGACCTAAATAATACCTTGTGATTATTCTATTGATCGATCGAACTGTTTTCATTTAATCAAATAATTTAGCAAAATTTTAATAATGAGTAATGCTTATTCACTACTAAGAATTAACCTTTACTAGTTAATAGTTTACATTAGTGGCGGAGCCAGAGGGGGAGCTTGGGGGAGCTGAGCTCCCTCTAGAAAATTTTGTCGCTATTTAGGCTGTTACTGTCAAATTATCTTTACTAAATAA